TCACTGGGGGGGGCGTAGCCTTGGAGAATCTACCTCCCTCCCTTCTTGCTTGGTCCTTCTCTTTGCTTCTTGTCTGCCATGCTGTGAGCAACTCTCCTTAGCCACGCTGTCCTGCCTCATAGCCAGCCAACTATGGATGAGAGCCAAACTAAACCTCTTCTCCTTTAAGATGTGTGTGTCAGGTATTGTGTCCCAGCAATGAGAAGGTAACTAGGACAATCCCAAAGACATTGCATGACAAAAGATAAACTACAAGGCCACATACTATGTATCTCTGTTTGTGTGCAACTCCAGAAAAGGAGAAATTATGACAGAATAAAGATCAGCATTTTCCTGGGTTAAAGCTTGGGGGGAGATGGAATGGTACTGGGCAAGAAGTAAAGTGTTAGGCTGCAGGAACTAGTCCACATTTTGAATGGGTGGTTGTAACATAGCTGTATATAATTAATAAAAGGCACCAATCTGCACCTTTAAATGTGTGAAGTTTATTGTGTGTAATAATCAAATATAAAAATTAGTTTTAAAAAATCCCTGCAGTTGCTTGTTATCCCAGCTACTCAGGAAGCTGAGGCAGGGGGGTTGCCAGTTTAAGGCCACCCTGGGCAAAATGTTGAGACTTTGCCTCAAAAAAAAGAGAACAAAAATATAACTCATATCTGTCTATATATAATAGGCAAACAACTTCATAACTAAACATATCATGGGAAAACTGGTAAACCAAAGATATGAAGAAAATCTTGAAGGTAGGCCAAAACAGAAGAATAAAGATAAGAATACAGAAGACTTCATCCAGAAACCATGGAAGCCAGAAGGCAATGGATGACATCCTCAAAGTATCGAAAGAAAAAAAGTTCAGCCAGAATTCTATACTTCTGTTTAATAAATATTTATTGGAGGTTGTGGCAGGGACCTGCAAAGAAGTTAAGAACACAGTTCTGTGTTTATAGATAAGAGATTGGTTGCGATTGGTTGTCTCTATACCTTTTCCCCACTCACGGATGGTAAATTCCTTCAACAGACGGTGCAATAAAAGCTTTCAGATAGGAGACAGGAATATTCATTGCCTCCTGTGCAAAAGGAAGTTTTAAAGGGAGTTCTTAAGACAGGCAGGTCTAATACCACAAGGAACTTCATATCTACATCAAGAACAAGGAGGGCTGAAACTGGCAAAAATGTGAATTCAAATTAACATACGGTAAAGGCATTCATTAGAAGAACCAAAAGCAGACCGTGGCGCTTCCAAACTGCCGAAAGGGTTTCAGCAGCAGTATGAGAGGGTGGGGCAGAATCACAGGCACCTGGGGCTGGAGCAGGGCTTTGTCCTGGTGACACCATTTCGCCCCCCTCCCCCGCACCGTCCTGGCTCGTTATTATTCCTGCACTACAGGAAAAGAAATGAATCTCAGGGAAAATAAGCTACCTGCTAAGCAGCCAGGCTAAGCCCCAGAAGGAGGCTGCGCCTCTGGGATAGCTTAGTGTAGCCCCTGTCCCACAAGCCAGGGCCTAACTAAGTCCTTGACACTGTGCCATGGGCACTAATAATGGGAGCCACCCTATCTCAGCCTGACTTCAGGCTTCCCCAGCTAGAGACCAAGCGGGTGGTTTCCATCACTCCGCTCGCGTCCGTTGCTATGGCCGCGCAGTCTTGGCGATCGAGCTGCCACTGCGCAGGCGCTATGGGGCCCGCGGTGCATTGTGGGATGGGCGCGGGGCGCGCCGCGGAGGCCGG